TAATGTGGTGGTGCTCCATCTTGTTGGAATACATTATCCATACCGAATTCATTAGGATTCGCTTCGACGATTTCAGTGATGAGAGGGTCAACAGTAGTTTCCTGCATATTCAAATACAGTTTTCCTGTTAAATTTTGATCAATAAATAGAGGTCCTACAATATGGTTTCTCAATATTCCTGCCAAAACGTTATTTTTTTCTGGATATTGGGTATGTATTTCCCGGAAAACGTGAGGGTTGGTGTCACTCCAATAACGGCAAAAAAATGTACATTCGTCACTAAAACAAATATTGTGGAGATAGGTAGGATGCCTTGCAATGGTGTCCCTCATGATTTTGTAGAATTCAGTTCTATCAGGGCCACCTTCAGTTTATTGGTGTACCATTTTAACTTTGTATGGATGATACCTATTCCTCTTCAAAAGTCTCCACACAGTAGAAGGAGACACCTCACAAACATTCGCGACGGAATAAGTAGACTGTTCAGGATTTACTACCATCTCACCAATTATTTGCACATGCTGTTCTTCCGGAATGGACGGATGACCTGGGTACTTTTTGTTATGTACACTACCGGTAGTTGTGAATTTGGATTTCCTCAAATATTTTCTACAGATAGGACGATTCGGAAAACGTTCATTGAAAATCCTTTCGGTCTCGTGAAAGATACGCGTCGCACAGTAAATGAAAATCGCTTCAATTTTTTCTTTCAATGGTTGAGAATTGAACATTTTAGAGATTGTTGACGTGTATAAAACCGAAAACTAAATGAGAATATTCTAACTGAAAAATGATGTTCATTGTCGTACTGACATTTTTTGACGTTTTTATAAACGAAAAGTAACTCAACAAATCTTATTGGGTTGTTGGAATTGCCATATGACAGATAAAAAGGAATATTTCTAGAAATATCGATATTAATGTGTTTGTCTTCAGAAAATTATTAAACGTTTCGCCATTTTGTACTAGGTGAAGATATTGACTTCATATTCTAGGGTTGTGAAGTATTCGTCAGGAGCCTCAAAATGATGTGTCACAAGACACATTTTTTCCAAATGGCGCCCAGTCGCCATCTTGAAAGTTTCATATATCAATTTCACTTCAAAATATCCCAAATTTCAATTTTTTGAGTTGAAAAGGGGGAGGGAACATTGAAGAAATGGACTGTGTACATGATGCTGCCAAAAACTTCAGAGTTAGAGAAGGCCGGCGCATCGCACTACATTCAATTGTTCTTGTCGGTACTAGACATGCATTTATTTGTAATTCATGACACGAGATCCGACTACCATTCGATTCCTTCGATTTTCTCGATTCCGCGACCGATCGAGGTCACTCGGAGCTTCCTAGGATTTTCTAATTAGTCACTCGGCCGCTTCGAGCGAAGTAGCCCGTGGGCACGGATCGGTACATCTTTTCGGCGAGCGTCGATGGTTTGGAAGAGTTTTCGAACGTCGCGACGCGTTTCACAGTTTGAGTTTGTTTCGCGACCGCTCCTTTCAGTGTTGATGTGCTTACTTTCGCTTCGCAGTTGTTTTGGATTTGTTCGGTGTCAGTTCGAGAATTGTGCTGTGCCATCCACGGCCGACTTAGTTCTAGATTGATAAAGAGGTATGTGGGCATGTAGCGTGGTGTCTTCCTTTTTCGCGGGTGCAGTGACGCAGCATGTGGGTAACTGTTGTTATAGTTCAAGCAAACGATAAAGTACAACCTATCTTCCAACAGCTCCCCTTTAATAATATAGTTAGAGAGCTAATTTCGTTATTCAATAATCATTTCTGATTATATAAGAATCACAATAACTATCAATCTCCATATAGTCTTTTTCAACTAAAATTACTTTTTTAGTCCTTTTCTGCCAGTCTTCTTCGGTAATATTAGACACTTCTTCTTTAATTAGTTCTCTTACCTTCTTATAAAATTTTGGAAAATTATTTTTACGCCTGATGCTTTGTTTCAATTTTTGCCTCACACAAAAATAGGTGGGAAGTCTCAGTATGGTGTGTCCATACTTTTCAGAAATACTCTCAAGGGCATACACTTTTTCAAATGTCTGTAAAACTTAAAGTAGTTGATTTTTGATATAGTAATTTTCAAAATACAAATTGTTATCCATTAAAAAACTTTGTATTTCATCTTTCCTGAAATTTTTATTCGATGCTTTGATGAGCTGTTGCGAATGATAGGAAGCGTTGTCAAGAAATATAACACTATTCGCATACACATTTGGGATCAATGTATTTTGAAACCATTCTTCGAAAATATTAGCTTCAATGTTCTTATGATAGTTAACATTGCAGTCCTCAAGTTTTTTCTACATAATTTCAAAGAATTCGGAATTCATCCTTTACCTCCTACGCAATGCACAATGATTAGTCGCAATTTTTTATTTGCAGGCATGTTAGGCGTAAACATTCTCGAACCATCAGTCATCGAACTGTGTCGTGAGTGTCATACCAAGGTTCTTCCAAATAGAAAATTTGCCTTTGTTTTTGTCTATATTTAGTTATTTGTTCTAAATATTTCTTACGTAATTCCACTACTCTTCTGCTTTCCATAACTGCTAGACGTTTGTTTATTGTTCTAAATCTAAATCTTACTTTCTTTATCCAATTCTGAAGAGTTTTGTCACAGCAGCTCACGTTATAACCGGAAGTATTCAATTTCTTCCTTATGATTTCAGTTGTAGGAATCTCATTGCTTTTGCAACATTCGTATATTGTTTTTTTCAATGATTCCATTAGATGAAAATCTAAAGGTTTTGGTAATCCTGTATCACATCGCGTATTGCGTTCATAAGGTTTGTTTTTGACTATTTGACGTACAGTTGAGAAAGGAATTTCAGTCAAATCTGATGTTGCTTGTAATAGTTTGTCCTTCGAAACCAAACTTGAGATGTAGATTATTATATACATTGAAACAAATTCTCTGTGGTATCTCTTTTTTGCATTGTTCACCATCGCTATTGGAATCACTAGACTGGAAAAAGTCTACGTTGTTATCACACTCGTTATTACTATTAGTTCTTGTCCGAGGACGCCACATTTTTTTAAGAGATAATAAAATTTTTTACTAATTATAACTGCACAAATATCAAATTTCAACAATCAAATCGCGATCTGAACTGAACACGACGTCGATAACCTTCCCCGATTTCTATTCGTCACCGTAACATGACTACAAATTTAATTTTATGACCCTTCAGCTAATCATAAAACTCGGTTAGTAAAAATTATCCAATAGGAACCGCCAATTCTACAGTCCACGTGGACTAGTTTGCTACCGGTTCATTTCTATGTACTGGTTTTGTCCTTTGAGAGTGCCGATAACTTTAAGAGTGCACAATATCGTTTACTTCAACTATACCCACATTCTGTTTTCTTATTGAATGATATTCTTTCAAATATTGTTTACAGCTTCTTTTTCAACATTAATTCTACAGAAAGTACAGTGAAGTAAAGAATGGATTATCAGATTATTTCCCCTAATGTATAAAAACGATGAAACAGTGAAGGCTGAGCAGCTTTTACAGAGTTCTACAGCGATTAAATGCACTATTTAAATTAATTGGAACCGAACTGTGAGAACAAAGCCAGTTAGACCACCGCTGAAACCTTCAAAAATGTTAAAAAGTTAAAAAAAAATGGTAGGACGAAACATTACAAAAGGAGGAGAATATGATAAAAATGAAAGGAAAAATAAATTACGGGCGATCTGAGTTCGGTAGTGGGAGGGGGTGAGTTTTTAAGGGTTAAAAATGGTTTATCTCGATTTCCGGCAAAACTGCAAGTCCTACGGAAAAAGTTGAATAGCAAAGTTGTAGGTAATAAAAAGATCTACAACTTTTGTATTCACAATTTTTTCACATAACCAAGTTTTTGGTTTTTTATTTTTATCTTTTTCAAAAAAAAAATCTACAAAATTTGGTGAAAACTTACCTTTTTATGTCCCAGATACACTGTAATTTATTCAATTTAAAATATTTATTTTTTCACCTTATTTTGACTTAACATCAAAAAGCACCCTAATTTTCAATCGAAAATTCTCGCTTCAAAATATCAACTTTTTTCAAATAGTCGGTGTGCTTTTTGTTCATTGAAATCTCTACTTTCTGATGGTGTAAAAAAATAATCATTAATATAGTAAATGTTCTCAGAAAATGCAAAAAATTTTAAAAAATTCGAATTCGAATTTTTTTTTATCATTGTGTACAATTTTGAGCTATTTATTAAAATGTACATTTAAATTACTCAAAAACCATAAGATTCCATGTTACATTGATAAACGAAAAAATTGCAAATGAAAATATACTTACTTTTATAATTAACAAACAAATAAGTTGTTGTGGGTTTGAACCTTTCAAATCAATTAAATTCAAATAATCATGACATTTATTTTCTCAAACCAGGTTCTGGGAAAGTAAAAGATCTATTTTTCACGTCTGATAGTTTTAAACATGAATTCTTCAAAAATATTGTTGCATTTCAGATTTGTTTTTCCGGTTGCGTTACATCTGAGAGGTTTCATATTTTTGAAAAAATATATTTTTTAACGAACGGTATATCTCAACTTAAAAATTGGCATTTCGTTGTTAAGATAATTCAACGGGCTGTCAAAATGTCACCCCCCTAGTCGCTATTCACATTTTCGGGGTGGTCCACCCCATTGCTCGAGGGTTGAAGTAATGGTGCTGCCGGTATGAAAAAAAATATTCCCCTCTATTCCAAAATCGATCTGTCTCAGCGTTTTTCCACATCTGGGATATTATTACCCAAAACCGTCATGTCAAGTTTATATTGAGCCACTCTGTATAAGATAATGGCCCGGGTGCAGTCTGTCGGTCTGTAAGAATAATAGTTGTATTTTGAATTTTAATACATATTCAAAATTTGTTTTCTTGGTTCCCCTCTTGTCTAAAGTCTGGCCTCTAATAGAAACTCTGCTAAGAACTTTTTTTTTCTTCTCGGGCCTGTTAACAATGTTTGAAATAAAACACAACGAAACTTCAACATCGTTCTATTTCCGTCAATCTACAATCTCAGTTGATATTATATCTCAACGTCCGTAAATCTGGACCAAATATCTGAAACCGTTGCCCCATGTGGAGTGGAGATTAATTTTGACGTACTGTCTTCCGATGCCCCCCGATAGGATGGTCGCTCTTGCCGAATTTCCGTCGTAAAACTTGTTGTATATCCTTATAGCAGAAATGGTCTCGTGTCTCGAATAGCCGGCGGGTAGGTCCTTGGGGTACTCCACGGTTTTGTCCCTGCTGCTGTACCAACGTCTGGGTTTGAAGTATTCCTTGAAAGAAAAAAAAAATGAAAAAAACGTTTTGGCTTTTTACTCCTCCATTTTCATACAAACATACAGGCTGATTCACGGTGGATGGCACATTAGACGTTTCTGGTTAGTACAGGTGTGCTT